TTGAGAATTTGCGCCTTCGTATCCTCTGCAAGGATGCCGTTATCGTGGAGTGAAACGGAAAGGGAGTTTGACTACGGGATGATGATCCGATTCTTTATCATTCCCTTTGGCGTCTCCTCCATTTCCGGGATTACCAGCAACGCTAGAGATGACTTTGTGTTGGTCTTTCCCAAAGATCAAACCATGCTGTTAGCTTTCATTGCCATTCCTACCGCATGCGTGGGTAAGACTCCACGCTTCCCTTCGGCTCACGCTTCCCTTCGGCTCCCCCCACTATCTTGATGCCCTTCACGGCCTCAATGCCCTTCACGGCCTCAATGGCCTCCACTGCCTCGATGGCCTCCAGTGCCTCAATGGCCTCCACTGCCTTAATGGCCTCCACTGCCTTAATGGCCTTCAGTGTGAATTGATAAGTTTGAATCTTAGTTACGCTCGTCCTCATGCGTTTATACTTTATTCTAACTATTCCCCTCAAGCCCTTCTGGAGAGCAGTGTTCTTCAACGGAAAATTGCTTTTGTGAGCCTTGTTGGAGATGATTTCTGGATTACGTAAAAAAACCTATCAACCAACCAGCTGAATGCCAACCAGCTGAATGCCAACCAGCTATATCTCAGACGCACTAGTAGCCAACTAACCAGTGCCAATGCGCTTGCGCCTTGTCAATGCGCGTGACCACTGCAGCGCGTTACACAGAGGTTACCTCTGTCTCAGGCTCTGTCTCAATGTCTTGGTCGTACAATGCTTTAGTCTTGCGCTTGCTTGTGCGAATCAGCCTGTCATGCAAACGCGAGAAGTGACTAGGACGATTGGAGTATCAGTGCAGAGACGGGGTACAATGCTATTGGCCAGTGGTCTTGCCGGTGATTTCGAATGAGTTTCAGTCCGGCTGCGGTGGACAGTCTGAGTAGATGGTCTGTGGATCGTACGACTGACCCGTCAGTAGAGTCTTGCACCGGCTTGGCATTTCCCAGTGGCATGTTGTCCTTTATGACAACGTAGCCTCGCCTGCCCTGGACGGCTCTTTGGGCTCTTTTTAGTAGCGCGAGGCATTCGTCGTCAGATGTATATATCAGGGAAAACTGTATCCAAATCAGATCGTACGACTCCCGCCTCGGGGTCCATTGCTGTAACGTATCCGGATAAAAAGTACACCTGTCATGGGGCAACGTCTTCAGGGCCACTTCCCGGTTGGCGGCAACTGGCTCAAAGACATCAATGTGCTCCGAATATGGCAACAAGACTCGAGTCGTCACTCTACCAATACCTGCGCCCAACTCCGCGACGTACTCAAAATATTTCCGGCCTCTTAACAAATACGCTTCTATCATCCGTCGAGAATTCGCTTCGTCACGAGGAGACAAATACTCAAAACCTCCCATCATACCCTTCTCGTCATGCGGCTGACCTTCCCAATAATGCACCGAACATTCCTCCACTGGCGAATTCCGAGCAACCACCATAACACCCCACTGACACCAATTTTATTCTCGGGAATCTATTACCCAGCACAATTACCCGGCACTATCAACAGGGACCGTTTATTCGGGGATCTATTCTCTGCCTGCTAGTCCCTCTCCTCTCATCATCCTACGATACCCTCAACGTGCGTGTTAAGAGTGTCCCCCACCTGGCCTTTAGGGCTGTAGCCAACTAACTCATTTGGATTAATCTGGCGAATTAACCTCGCCAGCAGAGTTTTCTCGTCGGACGCATGCCGTAGTACGTAAAATAACGGACACTTCAAAAAAGCAGCCGGACGGTCAAACTTTTCTCTTGCGGCAACTAATACAAGCGATCCACCCACCGGTCAGCCGGAATGCGGTGGTTCGTGTGTCTGCTGGCGCATTTGGTCCAGCAATATTATTGCGCGCGCGCGTGCGCACACGATTTTTTGCGAACAGAAAAGAGGGGGATGGGGAGCGGCTTTTATAAAAAAAATGTCTTTGGCGCAAGAGGCTGCACTAGTTGATTATCGGGAGGATGAGGACGAGACTCAGCAAGGTGCGTCCGGTGACGGCAAGCAGCAACAGGCGTCGGGAAACTACGTCGCAGTGGAGACGGCGGGCTTTCGCGATTTTTACCTAAAGCCGCAGTTGATTCGTGCGCTTGGAGACGCAGGGTTTGAGCATCCCTCGGAAGTGCAGCACGAGGCGATCCCGCACGCAATTACCGGTGTGGACTTATTATGCCAGGCGAAGTCTGGTATGGGGAAAACTGCGGTATTTGTTTTGTCGGTATTGCACCAGCTTGACGAGGAGAAGTTGGAGAACGCTGTTTACTGCTTGGTGATTGCGCATGCCCGAGAGTTGGCGTTCCAAATCAAGAATGAGTTCGAGCGTTTCCGCAAGCATATGAAATCGATTCGATGCGACGTGTTCTACGGTGGTGTCCCAATCACTAAGAATGTAGAGATCCTGTCAAACAATGATACGATTCCGCACATAGTTATTGCCACTCCGGGGCGCTTGTTGGCCTTAATCAAAAAGGAATACCTGAAGACTAACATGGTTCAGTTCTTTGTGCTGGATGAGTGCGACAAATGTTTGGAGAAGTTGGACATGAGGAAGGACGTCCAGGACATTTTCACCAGGACCCCAAGAAGTAAGCAAGTCATGATGTTGACGGCGACATTGGACAAAGACATGAAGGACGTGTGCAAACGGTTTATGCAGAACCCGATTGAAGTCATAGTCGACGACGAGGCGAAGCTGACCCTCCATGGCTTGCTCCAGTTCTACGTCAAATTGACGGAGTCTCAGAAGAACCGGACCCTTTCGGATTTACTGGACCGTCTAGAGTTCAATCAGGTGATAATCTTTGTCAGGAGTGTGAGCCGGGCTGTCGCATTGGATAACTTACTGAACGAATGCTCCTTCCCCTCCATCGCCATACATGGTGGCCTCACTCAACAGGAGAGAATCGAGGCCTACCAGAAGTTCAAGAACTTCGAAAAACGGCTCATGGTAGCCACCGATCTTTTCGGCCGAGGGATCGATATCGAACGAGTCAACATCGTCATCAACTACGATATGCCCGAAAGCACGGATGCCTACTTGCATAGAGTTGGACGCGCAGGACGCTTCGGCACAAAGGGCCTGGCCATCACCTTCGTCGCCAGCGAAGAAGACTCCCTTATGCTCAATGAAGTGCAGGCACGCTTCGAAGCCAAAGTTGACGAAATGCCGGACACAATTGACTCCTCTCAATACAGTAATCTAACCGCTTCCTCCTCACCCCTCTTAACTTACACCCCACCACTCTTGATCTACACCCTCTCTTGACACACTGTTTCTCCGGCACATTGTTTTTCTTCTATAGTCAACCAGTGAGAACCTTATTTTTGCGTCCATGCTTCAGTGATAGAAATCAGTCTGTGACGCATGGTAGTAAACTTCTTCTCATCATTGACCACAAAATGCACACGGGGGTACGGGTGGTGATGCTGATAGCCTGCCCGGGTCGTGGGTAGGGGCTGGAATAATTAAATGGGAAAGGGGAGTGGTGCGAAGGATAAACCTGCTGTGGTGAAGTTGAGGGACTACCGGCGACTGCTGAAAAAGCAAGTAAGTGATGGCCCCATTGCTGATGGACCGGCATAGGGATGGTGGCCGACTAGAATTTTGGTGTCTTTTAGGACCATTTTACTGATGAGCAAAAGGCGGACATTGTTGCGAAGATTCAAGCGTTGGAAGCAGCGTTAGGGATGAAGACGAAAGTGGCTGGGGTGCGTGGTGAGCTTTCCACGTTGCGCAAGAAGTATTTAAAGACGCGCGACGAAGAATTAAAACGGACGTTGCTGGCGAAACAGGGCGAGCTCAACAAGGCCAGACGCCTTAAGTTCCAGACTGAGAGGGAACGCTTCCTTAAAGACCGACAAAAGAGGCGTCAGGAATCGAGGAGGGCATATAACGACGAAAATCGAGTGGACGTCGGTGCAGATGATTAAACGGAGCCTGGCCAGCCCCCTGTCCAACAGGTTTAGGCCCCTGCGCTGGTGGCAAGCCAAGCTTGCAGGGCAGTGCTATATACCGGTCAACCTGCCGCCCGTCGGAGGTTACTGTAGACACGTGGACTCGGGGTAAGCCAACCCATGGGTCGTGGGGGCCAGTGTGCGAAGGTGTGTGCGAACGAATGGGTACACTTTTTAAAATAGACGGGCTGCAATCTCGGCGCGTCTGGGAGACCAAGACGGTCATTTTTGACGTGGGTTGGTTCGATTCCGTTGGTGTTGGAGGAGTTAGATTCCGACGTTTTTTCTTACGACAAATCATGGATAGATCGCTGAGTCCTCTGGAAGAGTGTATGGTGCAGTGTCAGTTGACCGCTTGCCAGCCTCGCGCAGGTGCAGCCTGTACAGGTACGGTCAGTGGAGCTGGGGTCTGTGGAGCTCCAACTACGTGCGACAACGTTGTCTGCAGAGAGATGGTATGTGCGCCGCCTTTCGTTGGGGCGGTCCCCGCCCGGGCGGAGTGTCGCCACGTGATCGGGGGTTGGACGGGAGGTCAGACGTGGCGCGGTGATGTCGGAGGTCACCAGCCACACTGTCCCCGAGCTCGCGCGATCCTCGAATACGAAGCACTTGCAGACATTCACCACTGCCAGAAAAAGCCACGGGGCGATTCGCTAGCCGTGGCCATAGCGAACGCCTTGCAGTTCCAGCAACTTTGCGAGGCTCTCAACCCCTTCAGCGCTCAAAACCTCTCTCGGGGTTACTCGGCCGACCCTGTAGCCTGTCTGGGTCTTGGATTAGGGGCTGTGGTGCTCTTACTGGGAGGTTTCGCCATCGCCAGCTCGTCTGGGTCCAGACACAGGCGGAGGCTCAGGTGACTGACCCCCCTCCCCCCTAGGTGAATGCCCCCCCCC